GTGGCCGACTGAAAGAGGCTTGTGGTGCCAGCGAGGCGCTGCAGACCAACGTCCGAGTAAGTGCCATTGTGAGTATGAATTCCAGTCGAAGTTTTTTCTTTTTCTGTGGTAGTCTTTGTCAGTGGGTTTGCACGGAGCACACCCACTGGGTGCTCATGATCCAGTGGGGGCACTTTGAGTGCACCTACTGGGTATAGTCTCTTGTTGACTGGATTCAATCGGCATTAGTCTTTGAACTTTTTGTGTTTTTCTGTCGCATTCACTAGGGGTCTAGCCAGGGCGTATCCGAGTGATTACGATCCAGTGGGGGCACACTGAGTGCACCCACTGGGTGTAGTCCCCAAGGCTACCGTTGACTGGAGGCAGTCGGTGGTAGTCTTACAACTTGTAGTTGTTTCACCCTGGGGCTGTTTACCATTTTTTTAGCTCAACACGAGTCACTTTTCAGTGGCAGCATGTTGAGTGCATCCACTGGGTGTAGTCCCCGAGACTGCCATCGATTGCGGGCAATCGGTGGCGGTCTTTAGAATTGTTGCTGGGCATTCAGGGTGCCCAGCAACACTCGTATAATTCAAAAAGGCATTAGAAAGTTCTGTCCTCGACGCTTTGACAATTTTGCATATGTGCCTTCGGTCGGTGCTTCTGCTGGTATGGTTATTATTTGGAATTCTTCCTTTTTGAGGGCAAATTAATTGAGGCCAAACCTTTTGGCATTATTGTGGAGTTTCTTTCCAAACATACATCTGAAGTTTGGAAACTAGTGACCGTTTATGGCCCTTGTCAGAGTCCTGCACGTGATGAGTTTGTGCAGTGGTTATATAATCTGGACATTAATTGTGATGACAAATGGCTTCTTTTGGGTGATTTTAACTTTATGAGGTCACTTGAAAACCGTAACTTGTCTGGTGGTAATGTCAACGACATTTTTTGTTCAATGAAATCATAGGTCACTTGGGTCTTATCGAGCTACCAATTAAGGGAAGGCAATTCACTTGGTCTAATATGCAGTCTCAGCCCCTTCTTGAACAAATTGACTGGTTCTTCACTTCGGTTGCTTGGACCTCTGACCATCCTAACACTTTGGTTTTGCCTCTTGCCCGATCGGCATCAGATCATGTTCCTTGTGTTTTCACAATTGCCACAGCCATCCCCAAGGCTAGAGTTTTTCGCTTTGAAAATTACTGGGTTGACTTACCTGGCTTTCATGAGTGTGTTGCACAGGTTTGGGACAGCACGGCGCGTAAATCTACAGCTGCTTTAACGATATCTGCTAAGTTCAAAGCGCTCAGACATGCATTAAAGCAATGGCATTTAAAGCTCTCCACAGTTAAGGCGCTAATTTCTGATTGTAACAAAGTCATTCTGTACTTTGATGAGCTGGAGGAGATCCGGCCATTAAGTTGGCCTGAATTCAATTTCAGACGAATAGTTAAGTTGCATCTGCAAGATATTTTGCACTGGCAATATGTTTATTGGAAACAACGTTGCACGATCCGAAGCATTAATGTTGGGGAGGAAAATTCAAAAAAAATTCACGCTATGGCCACCGAAAGATATCGAAGGAATACGATTTCTTCAATCAAGAACTCTGCAAGTAAGGTGGTCTCTGATCACCAAATGTTGGCGGGCATGTTTTGGTCTGATTTCAATCAGCGCATGGGCCATGCAAAAGGAATACAAATGGGTTTTGATCTGCCCAATTTAATTCAGAGAGTTGACGGTCTGGAAGAACTGTCTTTGCCGTTCACGGATTCTGAGGTTGATGCTGTAATTAAAAACATGCCTTGCGACCATGCTCCGGGCCCGGATGGCTTTACTGGTCTGTTCTTAAAGAGGTGCTGGTCTATTCTCAAGGAGGATTTTATGCAACTTGTCAATGAATTTTATGAGGGGAGGTGTAATTTGGAATGTCTCAATAATTCCTTAATCACCTTGGTCCCCAAGAAGCTAAGTCCAGAAGTAGTTGGTGATTTCAGGCCGATATCCTTGACAAACACGTGTTTAAAGTTTCTGACTAAGCTGCTAGCCAATCGCCTGCAAAACGTGATTCTGAGATGCATACACCGCAATCAATATGGTTTTCTCTGTTGCCGATCTATACAAGACTGTCTAGCCTGGTGTTTCGAATATATTCATCAATGCAAAGCATCTAAACGACCCATCATCCTCCTCAAGCTTGATTTCACTAAGGCCTTTGATACAATTGAGCATGAGGCCATCCTATGAATCCTACAATGCAAGGGTTTTGATGCTCGTTGGACTGGCTGGATTAATAGCATTTTGTCCACGGGTTCTTCTTCTGTCCTCTTAAATGGTGTGCCAGGTAATCATTTTGTCTACAGATCGGGTGTACAGCAAGGAGACCCGCTATCTCCGCTACTTTTTGTCATTGCGGTGGATTTGCTTCAGTCCATAGTCAATGAGATGTGCTCAAGAGGCATTCTTACTTTCCCAATTCCAACAAACTCCAATGACTACTCGATCGTACAATATGCGGATGACACACTTATTGTCTTGCCTGCGATTGATGATCAACTGATCGCTTTTAAGCAGATGCTCTCTACCTTTGCAGCGTCAACTGGTTTACGCGTCAACTTCAGTAAGTCATCCCTTATTCCACTCAATATGACTGATGAAGAGGGAGCTCGGGTCGCCAACCTACTAGGCTGTGATGTAGGATCTATGCCTTTCACATACCTAGGGCTACCTATGGGCACTTCTAGACCCACGATCTATGATTTGCTGCCTCTTGTGGATCGTATTGAGCGAAGGCTGTCTGCTTCCTTGTGTTTGCTAAATCAAGGCAGTCGGCTGCAACTGCTTCAGTCTATTCTTTGTTCAATGCCAATCTATTTTGTGTGCACATTATCTCTCCCTAAGGGCATCTAGCAACAGATTGAGAGAATCACGTGTCAATGTCTGTGGAGAGGCAACACTGATAATCCTCGACAATCCTTAGCTGCTTGGGATCGGGTCTGTAGACCTAAGAAGTGTGGTGGTTTGGGAGTGCTAAATTTGGGTCTTCAAAATGAAGCCTTGTTACTCAAGCATCTGTTCAAGTTTTTTAACAGAATGGACGTGCCTTGGGTCACATTAATTTGGGACACTTATTATGCTGCTTCGCCGCTGCAGGTTACTCAGAGTTGTGGCTCTTTTTGGTGGAGGGATGTTATGAGATTGTACACCAACTTCTGCAAGTTAGCCGTCCCACAAGTGCATGCTGGTAACACGGTGGTATTCTGGCTTGATAGATGGAAGCTGGGAAACAATGTGGTCCTTTTGTGTGAGCAATTCCCTAGGCTCCATACTTTTGTCATTAATGACACAATCACTGTCAGAGAGTTTTTGGAGCTTCCAAAGATCTCGGAGCACTTTCATCTGCCTCTATCGCAAGAGGCATATAATGAATTACTTCAGCTTCAAGATTTGCTCACTTTAGTCAACTTGAATGAGGAGGGTAAGGACATATGGAAGTGGCCTTCCAAAACTGGGGAGTTCAAATCAATGATATATTATGAGTGTTGCTTCTCACATTTGTTGGTCGATCCCATCTTCAAATGGATTTGGAAGTGTGCTTGCACGCTAAAGTTTAAAGTGTTTGGTTGGCTTCTTTTAATGGACCGTTTAAACACCAGGGATATGATGCAACGCAGGAACTAGATCATCCAGGATGATATGTGTGTTCTTTGCCTCTCTGCTACTCATGAGGATCGTGCCCACCTTTTCTTTGCTTGCAACTTCAGCCAGAGGGTTTGGAATTATTTTGGGATTTCTTGGAATGCTCAACAAAACCAGAATACATATGACATGGCTCTTGCTGCTAGGAGGGACTTTGGTTATCCTTTCTTCACTGAGGTGATTTTTACTGCTACTTGGAACATCTGGATTCAAAGGAATGGGAAAATCTTTAGAAATGAGAGACCCACCTTCAATTCTTGGAGGAGGAACTTCATTCATGATATTTCCTTATTAGCTCATAGAATCAAATGTAAATATAGGGATAGTCTAGTTTCCTGGATAGCCTCTCTCTCATAGATCTCTTGTAAGTATTACTCTCTTTGCTTCTAGTTTCTCTGTAATTACGTAGACCTTTCTTAATCTAATAAAACACTGTGAGGCTGTTGCCTTGCAGTACATAGTCAAATCATAGTAGTGTTACATATATTTAATTAGCACACACATGTTGCAAAATACAGATACTGTCATAGTGTTTCCAGATGCTATATATGTGGACAAACACGTGGTGCTTGTTAATTTGTTACACAGGGTCAACACAACTAACTGACGTTGTGATAATGTGTCATATTCAACAGAACTACTTTGCAAAATGGGGAGAAGAGGGGGTAGTCGATCTGAAAGAGGAGCTCAACCAGATACTCATGTTGATCGCAAGTCGATGCTTACTTGGAAATGAGGTTTGAGAGAAGATATTTGGCGAGTTTTACACATTGTACTGAAATCGAAGAAGTAGTTAACTTGGTCAGTTTCATGCTCCCATATATCCAGTTCCGGCCAATAAATCGGCGACGTGACAGAGCATGGATCAAGCTTACAGAGATCGTTTCAGAGATTCTGAGATCATGAAAGAGATGCAACCGCGTCGAGGAGGATGTGCTCCAGAAATTAATAGATTCTATGTATAAAGACGGCCGCCATACAACAGAAGCAGCGGTCGCGGGGATGCCCATCACTATGATATTTTCTGGAAAACATACAAGCACACTCATATCCACCTGGACTGGAGCTTGCCTATTGACCCATGCAAAGTTCTTAGATGCTGTTGTGAAGGAGCAAAAGGAAATAATGAGGACTTATGAAGAAAAGATGACTGTAATATCTTGTTCGAGATGGAGAAACTGCATAGTTGCATCAAAGAGGCTGGACGCATGCATCCAATATCATTGGGGTTAGTTCGCCAAGCATAGAAGAACGTCCCAGTGAGGTCAAAAGCGGGAGTTGAATATGTCATCCTGAAAGGTGACACCTTAGTAAATCTTGTAATGCTAACCAGTAAATTGCCACACATTTACAAGGACCCCGAAGTATATGACCCTGACCGGTTTTGTTCTGGTAGAGACGATGATAAAGTTGGTGGCATATTCTCTTACACAACTTTTGGTGGTGGAAGGCATGTTTGCGCTGGGGAGGCCTATGCTTTCATGCAAATTAAAATTATATGGAGCCATTTGCTGAGAAATTTTGAACTCGAACTGACATCTCCTTTTCCCAAGATAGATTGGAGCAAGTACGCATTAGAGCAAAAAGGGAAAGTGATGGTAAACTATAAGAGACGCCATCTGGCAAGCAACTAAGATATGTCATATGTGCATCAACATGTATTTGCATGGATGTACATTTGCGTGTGTGTGGTAATACATGTTTGGTAATTGTCTATGGATCCAGGGGAAATCAACGGCGTGGATGATTGTATACTGCTCACTTTCATCTATAACAGTATAGGGTACCATACAAAAGCTCACAAGTATTGGTAGTGGATCTACTAGTTGGATCGACCCAGTGGACATTCCACATCACTTGGTCCCTACCATAAAAGATCGTTATTGAAAAATATATGCAGTAATACTAAATTTCTCACCTAAAAATGCCTTAGCTTATTTTTCACCTACTAATACACTAATTGTGGCATTGCATCACATCAATCCATGCACAAATAATAAATCCGGTGTAGTGTGCAGATAAACGTAAAGGTATATATGCCACTCATTATTATAGTCGCTTACATCACATGACCAACGAGCCAAATGTTTGGACAACAAATGGGGAGTAAACACTTAACTTACTCATACTTGTAGACTATGTTGGTATATACAAAGTGCGGAGACGGAAATAGAACGCGTGGCCTCAAGAATACGAGCCTCCTGAACTACCAAACGGCTCTACTGCAGTACTAGATACTGACTGGTGGACTAAAAGGATTGAATACAGACCTAACATGTCTAGACAGAGTATTTTTTCCGTTGCAGATGGCGACGGCACGGTTGACCAACGACGAGGACCGTGCGAGCGGCAGCATTAGCTGGCCGTGTACAGGGTGCAACGGGAAGCATCGGTTCAGGTGCATACGTCATCTTAGGTTGTGCATTATGATCAAGGTGGAGGGAAAAACGAAAAAACTTAAAGGGTGCTTGGATACATTTTAGTCCCATGACTAAAAGTAGTGGGACTAAAACTTGCTAGCCTCATCCATGCTTGGATCCAAATACTAAAGAGACTAAAATCAAGTTAACGAGCATTTATTATCCTTCAAACCCTTCAATCCAGAACTCGCCTGTGTTAAAGGAGAGGAGTTAAATGAGGACAAAGAGGACTAGTTTTAGCCCCTCTTTAGTCACGGGTGCTTGGAACTTTAGCCTCTTAAAGAGACTATTTTTAGTCAGACTAAAATAAGTCCCTTGGATCCAAGTACCCTCTTAATGTTTATTTGCTAATTAATAGCATTGCATGCAATGAAATGACCATTGCATGTCATATTTGGTAGTCTCAAGTCATTAAAAGCATACACACCCCACATTTGTTTATTGGTTGATTCTTTTATGTATGTTAAAACAACAAGAAATAAGGTATGAGTTAATGCATCACGCCTAAGTGTTTTGGGATTACTCCTATTTTGTTTCATAAGTTGATTTATACACCGAGACGGAGGGAGTAAACGGGTTTCCTAGGCATGGCAGATCTCTATATATCGAGGAAAACTACTGTTGACTGCCATGGCAATCAAGGAGCATGGAGATTGGGCGGAGGATATTAAAACAAAAATCAATGGCAATAATAACTCTTGTTTGGCCGGACAGAGAAAATGGGAGTAGCCAATCAGTAGGTTTTCGTTAGTCATTTATTCCTAAATAGGAACATGCAAATCATGTTTAATGTGCCAACCAATAGAAAGAGCAGCATGCAAATAAAAAAATTAATGATCATGGGGAATGAGGGGCTTCTTTCACGTATGAACGCCCTATACATATTTCTGATTTTCATTGGATGCCCTTATGGACCTAGATGGAGGGTACTACTATTTTGTTGGCTACGCACTGAAGTCGCAATTACTACGGATCAACGAATGGGCGATATCGTGCTAGCTACTCGGGGAGTAAGAAAAATAGCAGTGGTCAACTTGTCTGCACACATCGGATGATGAATTGCATGCATTGTATACTTTACAAACTTTGTCTCTTAGGTATATGTATGTTACTCCCTTCATTCGGGAATATCGGGCTTAATGCGTAATTTAAGATTTATTTTAACCATGAGTTAGATCAATAGTACATGACGTGTGTGTTGCCAAAATTTTTTAATACAATCGAATTCATATGCCAAAGGATTATCTAACGGTATAATTTTGTAGTAGCATAAATCTTATATATCACTGATACTATCGATAGTGGCGGAGCCGGCCCAGATAATAGGGGCCTAGGGCGTGTCTACTAATTTTTTTCACATCCTTTTGTCACTGTAGCTACTGTAACTTAGAAGGTGGCTTGGGGCGTATCTCGGTCCTGGCTCCACTACTGCTTGTGGATGGTCAATTTAGATCCCGAAATACGTATTAGAGCAAGTACAATAAGATGACATAAGTAGGTTATAAGGACTTAAATATTATATTTTTGCTTAGTTGGGGAAGAGAGAAGATGAGCGAGAAGACAAGCGGGCTGTAGATTAGTAGCCAACTGCAGCTCGAGCCCCAAGATACTTTATGAGATTATAAGGTGGGCCAAACTATTGATAAAGTAGTGCACATTTAAAACTTACTATTGTACATGCTGACTATTAGGTTGGCTCTACTACATGACATGGCAACTCCTTATAGTTGATTGTTGGCTGTTTTATTAATCATGCTCTTAGGCTAGCCATAGTGGGAATAACTTAGATAGTAACATAGCACATCCCAAGAAAAAATTGCTTATGTGGCATGGAGTTAATCAGGAAAGAGATGCTTGTGGTAACATAATATGTTACTGTAACATAACATACCCCAAAATAAAATGAGTCTATATCTCAATTAATGAAGACCTGCATGTTATCATCCATATGTTACTACCCACTATGAAGGTACTAATATAGACTAGTAACATATGCATATGCATGTTACTAGTCCAAGTTACTCACCACTATGACCAGCCTTAGGCCATGTATAGTGGGAGTACTCGTCTATCAATGAGATAGACATCAAACACAAGAAGGACGCTAATAATTAAACTAGTTCTCCTAAATATTCTCTTCACTCGGATGGAACATGGCCATCATCAACAGAGAGAAGGTAGTCAACGAGCCCTGCTCCGGTGCTCCCCCTTAACCTAATTTCAGAGGGGTATTTTTGTCCCCGTGAATTTGTTTTTTTCCTGGCTCGCCGCAGCCCAGATCCAAGCCCTATCTAGCCCTGTATAACCCAGACCATATACGTACAGTACCCTGGTCCGAGAAAAAAACATAGATATGACCCCACGTCCACGTAAGACCTGCTGATTCCAATCATTCACGCGAGCAGCTCCATTAATCTCGCGAGCATTGACGCAGCTCCATAAGTAGTAGATCTCCACCGGCGGCTATCTCGTCGCCGGCGATCTCGTCGGACAGCGGGCGCGACAACGTCATGAATCTCCAACGATCGCGCACAGGTACCGCATCCCACGTCCCCCCTCTAGTCTCGCTCGCGGCAACATCGAACGAACTGCCGCCGCGCCAGTGGCAGTGGTTAACCTAGCTACCCGGCGGCGCATGCGATCGTGGATCTTGTTCCGATAGTGCTGCTCCTCGTGATATGGGTTCACGTAGCGTCGGTTGCCGTAGGCTGTGCGCACCACCAGTATCGTTATTTGATGTGGCGGCTAACCTAGGTATCCGGCAGCAGAGGTAATCACAGATCTAGCTAGGTTTTGAGATCGTGCAGTTCCTCGCGATTGAAAGTGACCACGACGGGTGTCGTGGCCATCTTCCTTACTAAGTTTGGCAGATCTGAATGGCCTCGGTTGCGGTTGTTTACATAACATCTTTGATTGTGTGCTATGTGTTTTATATTTCATCATTGATAATGTTTGCACATGTGATGATACATATTATTGGTTGTAGGAAATGGCGGAAGAGGAGTCAACTGATATCATTGTAGACATGGAGTTTGGAGAACTGATGAAAGACTGGATAGAAGATTGGTCAGATGATGAAAATTCAGATCGTGAAGATCGGTCAGAGAATGGGAACGAATGGGACGATCTTAATGTGAGTGGCATTGTCATGTTGTAATTTTTTGGTGGCATCTGACAATACTAAATCTTTGTGTTGAAAATTTATAGATCCATGAGCTTGATGATGATCAGGAAAACAACTCGGAGCTCTCGAATGAAGATTACATTAGTCAGGTACGTAAGTGAAAAATTTTGTTGGCATGCAAATCGAATTTCTTCTGGAATATTATATGATAAGTAATTATGTATTTGTGTTGTATTTTTCAGTTCATTTCCGAATGTCATAATGCGTACGACTATTACGGTGAATCCGACGCGGAGACATGCCTTAACGATGAATCATTAGATGCACCTGGTTCTGGGGAGTCCGAGTCGTCGGTCATCATGAGTGAGGTATGTTTGTAATCAATGTTCTATGGAAGTAAGTAATGTTAAACCATAGAAATCTGTTTTCATGGCTGTGGTTTGATTGTGTAGGTGACACAAGATGATGGTGCAAAGAATGTCCAAGATACTGCCAGTGCAGATGATAAGAGGGATATGTTCATGCAGATAATGGAAATGACCTTTACGTCTCACGATGCTGCGTATGATTTCTACAACAGCTATGCTAGAGATAATGGGTTCAGCATTAGAAAGAATAAGGTCAAGTATAGCAAAACAGAGTCACGTCATATGCGTTATAGGCGGTTTGTTTGTTCAAGACAAGGGAAACGTGACAGCAAGTTGCTAACCGAGGAAGGACACAGCCGTAGGCTCAGAGCCGAGACACGCTGCTTTTGCGAAGCGCACCTGACCGTCAAGCTTGACCAAAAGCATGGGGTTTGGTATGTTGAAAGTTTTGAGGACAAGCATAGCCATATGTTGGCAGGACCGGACGAGGTACCTTTTCTTTGGTCCCACAGAAAAATCAAAGAGTACCAGAAGCATGAGATAATGTCCATGGGAGCTGCAGGGATTAGAATTCACGACATGATGGATTGCTTCATCAGCAAGCATGTATGGTACGGCGGTGTTGGTTTTACCAGGCGTGAAATATACAACCTTTGTGCTAAGGAGAAGAGGAAGCTGCTTTCAAAAGGTGATGCTGCCACAGCCATAGGCATCATGGCCAG